ATGTACATTGTTGAATTTATTGACATAAAGTTTATAATATTTCCTTATCATTTCAGTGTTTGTAGGATGTGTAGTGTTAGCCCCTATTAAGTGCCTAGTTAATGTGCTAATTGCAGTGAATACAGTTCTCCGGTTGTTAAAGATCTTACAGTGCATTAGGGTCCCTTCTGAGTATCAGAGGTCTTTAAATAATGTGGCAGATGTGGAAGATGTAGATCAGACAAAATGTGTGTCAATCCCAGGGAATCCTGGTAAGGTTTTAACATTAAAACAGTTCAGTGCCTACTGTCCTATACACACATATATATCAAATCTAGCCGTTAAGTAAAATAATTCAAGTACAGTATGAAATAAAGTTCAGTTAAATCCTTAGATGTCGGATCTAGCACTGTAGCTGATTAAATATCTATTGAATTGAATCAATCATGGGTTATTAACTAGGGAAAATGCCCTTTGGCCATTTGAGGTTAATCCCAGGAAGAACCATGTGCCCATTGGTGCCACTACCAGATTATTTGGCTGGATGTCACACAGGTCTTCTCCACCTTCCCCATTCTCATTGTGTGGGTTGTTCCCTGCCTTGGGGACCAAGAGCTGTGCCTTGGAGATGCAGGGCTCTTGGTTTCAATGTTTGTTTTTTTTTTCTTCGTAAAGATTTACTTTTCAGTAATCTCCACACCCAACATGGGGTTTGAACCCACAACCGAGAGATCAAGAGTCGCACGTTCCACCGACTGAGCCTGCCAGGCGCCTCTTCATGTTTCTTCGCCTGGCTAGTGTTGGTATTGCCCCCCCGTAGGGACTGGAATGCAAGCATTTGGTAGGCCGTTTATGCTTGCTTGTGGAGGTTTTGTGACATTTAAATACTAGAACAGCAGTTTACTGAAAAGCATAGAAGGAAGAAATAATTCAGGGAGATAAAGTGTTAGACTGAAAAGACTAGAGCAGGGAATTAATCTGCTGCCAAAATCCAGTTGCAAAATTCTTGGTCTCCTGAGCCAGGCTTTATGTCTTCTTGGGCTGAATAATTGTGTTACTTTATAATTTGTTTCTGTTTTGTTTTATTAATCCTTGATTGTACCTGACTTGTCACTGGTGGTTCCATTGTGAGGATGTTGTCAGCTCTTTTGGAGAGATGGCCGGTTTGATGAGTTTTATCCTTGGGTTATGGTTAATAATTTAATGTGTGGGTGAAAGGGAGACCATTTGTCCTTCTCTTTAAAAAAAAAAAAAAAAGCTGTTCCTAAGTGAGGTTTGTATTCTCCTTTACCAGATTTCCATGTGTTGTTTCCTGGACCTTAGTGGCCTGGGGAAGGCTTGGTTCCCATTCCCTTGGTTCTCCTGCAGGTGTGGTGGAGAATGTGGTCATACTTGCCTTGTCTGTCTCTTAGTCACACCGCCACCTTCCAGCAGTCTTTGTAGACAAGTGAAAACAATCTGGAAACTCTCTTGAATAGCAGGGGGTCTCTACCTCAGGACACACAGCAGCTGCATTCCCTCTTCAGGTCCTTGAGACACGTCTTGAGGCTGTCAGCACATCTTGGGGTGTTCCAAGTTTTATAAAAATTGATCTAGAATTTGTTTTTATTTATTAGGTCCAAGTAACACATTACTTCTGGGTTGAAGATTTCTTTGTCTCAGAGGCATGCCTGGAAAAAGGTGCAGGCAGACCATAAAGTCTTATGCAGGGAGTTTGCTGCTTGGGTTTAGGAGCCCATTCTTGTTGGTTCCATGACTGACTTGGGTCTGCATGTAGATGCTGAGGAATCCTGCCTCTGCGTGTAGAGAGGTGTTTCTTGTTCGTTGTCTTTTCAGGATGATTTTAGCCTCCAAGATAGGTATGTAAATATGAGTGAAGTAGCAAAGTACATTTCAGGCTTCCTATTTGGAGACATTTTGTTCAGCCCAGGGAGAACCCTGAGAACCTCTGCTGCAGAGGTTAGTGATCTCTGAGTCACCATGCAGTGTGGGTGGCAGAAAACCCAAGTGACTGAAGCTCTCCCCTTCCGATGGGCTTTTTCCTGCAGTGTGGTTTCAGTCTTCGGTAAAGTTCCCAGTGGAACTTAGACTTCTGTGGAAGCAGTGGAAAGTTTGCTTACGTTCAGCACCTTGATGTAGAGGTGTCCTTATTCCGAGGGAACAAGAGTAATACATGGCAGTAAAGAGGTTTATGTTTTGCATCATTTTAGGTTTTTTTGAGCTGCACTCTTCTCTACAGTAAAGCAGACAAATCCTGTGTAGCTGGTGAAATGAAGTTTACTCTTCTCTTACTTTATATACCCATTGCCCCAAATGTCGAACTTCTTAAAATAGTGTTGGTGGCATATCTGCCAGATTGTAAGACATCAGAACTGATGCATGAGCTCATCCTGCCTGCTAACAGTGTGGCTCCGGTTGTGTGTGTGTGTGTGTGTACATACGTACACAGTGTGTGTGTGTACAGTGTGTGTGTGTACAGTGTGTGTGTACAGTGTGTGTAGTGTGTGGGTACAGTGTGTGGATACAGTGTGTGTGTACACAGTGTGTACAGTGTTGTGTGTGTACAGTGTTGTGTACACTGTACAGTGTGTACAGAGTGTGTGTACAGTGTATGTGTACACTGTGTGTGTAGTGTGTGTGTGCACACTGTGTGTGTACAGTGTGTGCGTGTACAGTGTGTGTGTACAGTGTGTGCGCACAGTGTGTGTGTGCGTGTGTACGTACGTGTATCGTACACACGCACACACACACGGCACCTGCTGCTGAGTCTCTTCACAGACCCGAGTCCGGTCGTTAACTGTTACATGGCTGCCTCCGTCCACAGGATTTGTACTTCAGAACATTGGGCCAGCAAGCAAGACTGTTATTACGAAGAGTCTTGCTAACTTGAGTTGCTGCTTAACGGCGTTTTATGTGAAGTGCTTCTCTGCGCCGTTGCGTACACTAGACCCTTGAACACCTGTGGCTGTTTACGCTTAAATTCCTGAGGATTTCAGGTGCTCAGTAGCCACATGTGGCTGATGACTGCTGGACTGGACAGGGCGGCTGAGGGGGTTTCCATCATCACAGAAAGTTCTTTTTTTTTTTT